GCCTGCTGGCTGACTGAATGTCAGGGTGCAATAAAATCCAGTGTCCAGCTCGTTAAAGGAAAACCATTTTACAAAGGGTGTCTTTGATTCATAATTCAATTGATTTTGTCTTGAAACAGGATGTTACAGAAGGAAACATGTGGAGGGACTGCTAAAAAAATTTTTCTCAATGCGTCATCCTTTGTTGTCACAGACCTGGGAAATGTAAATATGGAAGCATAACAGGAAAATACCATTGCCATTCATCTCTTTTGTTTTTATTGTAAAGCTTGGGTTTAATGTGAGATAGCAAGAGATATTTTAATAATGATGATTGCTGCATCATGAGTTGATAATTAATCAAAATCTATCATTTTTTCCATTTAATTGTGTAGGTTTTGTTACAGGATAAACCAGCAGCATGGAGGGTTAGTGATATAACATTTCCATTGTGATTTTAATTATTTTGTGGCTGCAATATAATCGCATTAAGTGATTGATTATGAAATGCCAATTTTCCACTCTGAATGGATGGCCTCCCAGCTAATATGTAAATGTATGGCATACCTATTATGTTACCTATTTGTATGCTACTCGTGAATGGGATTACCTGCTTTCTAGATAATTGACTATATGGTATGTTAAATTCAGTTTGATTTGGGTCTGAATGGCTGGCCAATTGGCTAATGTTTGACTTGAGGGTGCCTGACTGAGTAGATAACATTATTTCACATAATGTGCATCTATAACCTGTATAACTGTCTGGCATAGTGCTCCATAAATAGAGTGGTTCTTTAGCTGGCTGACTGATTTACAGGCTGTGAACTAAAGCAAGCGTCACTCCTTATCAGCATGGTGTGAGCACATGTAAGATTTATGATTGAGTCCACCTGGTAATTATGGAGAGGCACTTCTTTAGTGAATCGAGGTGACATGACAGCTGCCACAACACTGGTTGGTGGAGGCGGAGAGGGAACAAAGGGAAGGACCGAAGGGTGGGAAATAAACAGAGTGGAAACGACTTAAGTAGAGTAACGCGGGGTGAGAGTAAGAGACGATGGAAAGGCTGGAGCAGTGAGAAGGGGAAGAGGGAGTGACAGAGATAGAGTGAGTTTGAGCTTTGAAGTAAGTGTGTGCGTGCTTGCTTGCTTGCTTGCTTGCTTGCTTGCGTGCGTGTGTGTGTGTGTGTGTGTGTGTGTGTGTGTGTGTGTGTGTGTGTGTGTGAGATAAAGATAGATTGATGTTCATGGTGAGGAAGTTCTCTAACTCACTTTGTCTTGGCAAATGCATCAACAGATTGTCTTATTGAATCAAAATAGCATCATTATACTGCTCCTGACATAACTGCCTTCTTGACATGTCCACCCACACACATGTACAAACACACACACACTCACTCACTCAAACACACACACAAACAAACAAACACACACACACACACACACACACACACACACACACACACACACACACACACACACACACACACACACACACACACACACACACACACACACATAACACCCTGGCTCTTCAGGGATTCATGCTTTTTTAACCAAACTATATTCTGTGATACAATTTCTCGATTTTGCACATCAAAGATTGTTTACAGGTCCTGGGGGTTACTACTGCATCTGGAAAGTGTAAGCATTTTGTGGCTCCAACGGAACATGTTCGAAGTCCAATAAATTCCCTCAAGGTATGGCTCATGAGACGGCAGTGGTTTGGTCTGAATACTGCAAGTTTGGGATTGAAAAAACTTAATTGGGCATGTGGAGTTAGAAAGAACCTCAAAATCTGTAGCCTGCTTTTTTACTCTGCTTGATGCTCGTAGCTGAAGGCTGAATAAGCAGCTGCATATCTCTCAAGCAAGAAGTTGATGGTTGAGTAATATTGTGGACAATGTAAACGCCATGCTTTGACAAAAGAATGCCTGGAAGAAAAAAAGACAACATCTCTGGTTCATACAGTAGGAGACATGGTTTGCAATACTACATTTGTGAAGTACTGATTTAGTGTTAAAGATTAAACTAGGCTCTAGGTATTTGGTGAGCCTAAGTGAGCTTTAAGGTTACTGTTGGGGATTAATTCTCCTTACTCCTAGGAGTCTAACCTTTTCTGTCTGTTGACGTTTATGTTCAACCCTGACTCTTTTATCTGTCTTAAGGAATGGGAGGCCTCAGCTATAATCTTATATTCTCAGTTTTATGCCCGGGCAACTATCGGTCACAAATGGTTTATGATAGTGGGAACGTTGGCTTCGAGCCTGGGTCAGTCAAATGATTCAGTGTCTCCAGATGTTGGTGATATCTCCAGTGTTCCCAGATGTTTACGTTATCTCCCCCAATATGTTGATTAACTCTCTTTAAACTAGTTAAAAGGTCTATCGAGAGAGAGGCTGGGCAGAATTGATGTGGCAACCCACCCGTCTAGGCAGAACCTCTGGCTGCTGTGACTTGTGATGTGAAATTCTCTGGCCGATACTTGTAATAAACCATCAGTGTTTGACATCAAAGCTCCAACTCACCTTGTGTCTCTCTGAGTCTTGACTCTCCATTGCTGCAGAAGTTTCCCTTACAGTTACATATTGAATCCTGACATTTGTTTATTAACTGTGTCAATATAAGAGTCCATGTTCAAGTCCCCTAATATTTACTCCTCACAAAACTGTTCAAAGAAACAAAGGACTCAATCAGCCCTGCACCACTGACCTGAGGAGTTTTACTTGATCAATTTAAAACTGCTGCTGATGGGACCTGGTTCAGATCCCGCGGACTCCACTGGTCCAACTCTGCCGATTAACAATAACAATACAACAACAACACGGTTCTACAAGCTACAGAAACTGACCTTCTCAGTGTCACATATTAATTGCTGAAGGCTGCTGACCCACTTGCTTGTTCTGTTTAACTATTGGATGACCTCAGTGCAGCATTTGACACCATCGACCACCCAATCCTTATAGACAGATTAAAACTAACTTTACTTTAACCGCTCAGACTCATCCTGATGTACCGCAAGGAATAACCATGGGACCTGTTCGGTAACCTTGTATGTGCTACTTTTGAGACAGAACCTCGATTATCATACCGTCTCCTTCCATAGCTTTGTGGATAATACTCAGCTGTATCTTTCGTTTAAACCTTCTGATTACAGCAAATTAGCTTCACTACATCGCTGCCTATATCATATACAAATGTAGATTCTCCCTGAATCTTCTAATGAGGTTCTCATCATTGACCTTGAACAAGTCTAATTTAAAAAACGGCTTCTCATTGGCCTCATGTTTTCCTAGCTAATTGAGCCTGGAGCATCATGTAAAAAAATTAGCCCAAACGGGTTTTCACCAATGGAGGAATATCTCCAAAAGTATTTTAGTTCTGTCCTTTTGTAACACGCAGAAAATTATACATGATCTCTTTTAATATTTCATCTCATTTACTCTTATGCCTTGTTCATTTACCTAAACAGCTAAGCCATTGTCATGGTTCTGCAGCTAACTATTGACAAAAACCTAATTATTCTCTCACAAACTACACAAATGTTAGCTTCTTCGCATTTACTTCGAACCTTTTTCAATTGTTTGGCACCACGGTTAATAAATTATCCCCCCACACCACAGTGTTTCAACAGGAGCCCTCAGGTCTGCAAGTCAGGGTCTTCTAACTGCTCCAGAGTCAAGGTGAAAAACAAAGGGCGATTGAAATGTTGCAGTGCTGGCTCCTCAGCTCTGGAGTAGCCTTCCACTGAGCATCAGAGCGGCTGACTCTGCTATTTTGAAATCATGTTTTAAAACCTCTCCTTAATAAAATTGCTCTACCTAACAGCTTCCAATGATGATGATCAGCGTGAGACACACACACTCATGCAGTCTATGCGCACTGACTTCTGTGAAGCATGATTGTGCAGCACTTGGTCCGCCCCACGGAAATATCTGATTTGGTTTTGAGAGTGATGGTGCAGTCTGTTATAAATAGTTCTCCCTAAAAGCTAAAAAACACTATCTGCTATTGATTAGCTGTCAGCACATGTTAAAGCTCACTGTCGTTGGTCACACAGTCAGTCAGAGAGAGAGAGAGAGAGAGAGAGAGAGAGAGAGAGAGAGAGAGAGAGAGATAGATAACCTGCTTTCAAATAATACAGATATACAGAACAGAAAAGATACAGTCGATTCCAGGTCAGAGTACCAGCCACATAACTATCAATTTGCTAAATCACTTTATGTAGTTCAAAGATAACATGCAATGGTAACAAGTAAAAAAAAAAAACTTCTAAACGAGGATCCCAGCCTTAGAATTCACAACAGCAAAATGGTTGCAATATCTGTAAATTCCACTTTAACTTTGTTTAGACTCCAAATTACAAAGTATTTGTAGCGTTACTGAACATTAGCTTATATTATTATCCACTGGATTATTCACACAATATTATCACACATGTATTTTCAATATTTCACTTTTAAATATCATGGTATTTTCTGGTTTTATAAATGTATTTCATGATAAACCAATAAGGGCTTCAGTTACATATAAGATGTTATCCCTTTTATTTCTATGTGAGAATAAGCATCCATTTAACGTTTAGAAATCACAACAATAAATATATTTATATATTTGATGTTCTTATCCAGGCAAAACCTTTTATTTTGCTCTTCTCAAGTGTGCCTTGTCCGAAATGTCGTTTTGTTTTCTTAAATGTATTTCAAATGTTTATATTTCCTGTATATGGTTGTGTGTTGATGACTCAGCCAATATCAGTCAGTACACTAATCAGATGATTAAAGGAGTCCTCGGTGGCACGAAGATCAAATGATCTGATTCTAAGAAACACTTAGGAATACATCATATTCTGTGTGTGTGTGTGTGTGTGTGTGTGTGTGTGTGTGTGTGTGTGTGTGTGTGTGTGTGTGTGTGTGTGTGTGTGTGTGTGTGTGTGCTTCACAAAAAAAAAATTGTAACTGCCTATTTGTTTATTCTCTGAGTTTCCCTATGTTGTAGAAAAAAACAATCAGTACACAGATTAGAGTTCAAATACATACTTTATTGATTAAAGTTTCCATATTTTATGTTCATTAATTACTTTAAAACATAAATGTACTATTATGAGTTCTCACAAAATCACACAAGAACCATCTTTCTTTAGTTATCCATGCCAAGAATCTAAAAATTTGTTTTTCAAGGGAGACAGGTTGCACAGTAAATCATTGACTGATTTCTTTTCTTTTTTTATCTACCACAAGGCCAGAGGGCTTTTGTCATTTTATTAGTTATTAGACAAAGATTTACTGAAGTTAAGTTAATAATTAGACAGCCTGAATATTGTTCTGCTTTCAAAAATGTAGAAATACTTCATTAAAAATCATTTTATTATAATTATTTAAGTTGAATTGTCCCACTTCTAATCAGCTGCTTTTCATACTTAATTCCTGGCAATGCAACAGGGCTAATAGGACAAAACGAAGCATCATATAATATTCTTTTATATATTTTATAACATTTAAAACACATATCTATCGACATTTGAAGCACTGAAGTACATGGCAGCAGCATATAAATACACAAAGCACAATTTATTTTTCTTGTTTTTCTGGAAATCTCATCCGTCTCAATTTGCTTAATCTAATTCCTGTCACACAGAACAAAGTGTGCAGATTGCCAGATCATCCATCATTATCATGTTTGGACCGACGTTAGCCTATATGGGGATATTTAAGAAATAATTTAGCATATTTCTTTGCTCTTATGATTCATAGTTTCAACAAATTACAAAAAGATTATTAGAGAATGTACTTTAGAAGCATTTTGAAACAGTTCCTGCGTCATTTCTAAAACCAACTCATTTATTTGAAACATATATTGCTAAAGAAACGTGTTGGCTATTTACTCTAATTTTTCGCCAAATTTGCATCAATTTATTTAGAAATGTATTTTTTGGGCCTGCTCATTTCCTTCATTATTTGCGCACAAACACACACACGCCAAAACAAGCACTCACGTCAAACTGAGGCCGGGCCGGACATCCTCCACAGTGGGAGCCAAATCCCCGGAGTGTCTCCCTGAAGATCCCCGCTTTAAAACTCCAGGAGGCGGCCAGTCCCTCCGCAGATCCCCGGGGCCGAGGCTCTGCTCCTGGAGCTTTTTTTTCTGTAAATGTCAGAGTTTGTGGAGACGCGGACAACGAGTGGCACTAAAAGGAGAAGACACACAAGCATTTCCCTTCTTTTCTTTTCTTTTTTCATTTGCACAGAACTGCTTTTTGTTCCCCCACTCTCTTTTTCACTTAAGAGGGAAGGGGGTGCTCGTTTTTGATCACATGGTTATAATTCACCTGAGATAAAAAAAAAAAAAAACAAAGGACGCAAGGAAAGGAGGGGAGAGGGGGAGAGGGAGATTCCCTTATCACGGTCAACTTTAATGGATAATGGACCAAAAAAAATGGTGATTTCTGGATTGGGTGCCAGTGTGTCGCATGGCGGGGATACAAGGGGTCATTGTTGTGAAGAACAGCGCGTGTGTTTGTGTCCGCGCGGCCCACGATGTCCTCTCTCGTCTCTCCTTTCGGCATGTACTGTTTGATTTCTCTGCGGCTCTCACTTAGAGGCGCTGATGCAATTATAAAACTCACACTTTCACATAAAGAGGCGCACTGTTGGCTGCCAAACACACGTTTTTGAATGGTCTTAACTGTGGAAATAAAAATATATATCTACCATATGTGTGAGGAAACCTAAACCACTTTGGGAAGTTCAACCAATTTGCAAAATGCAGAAGAGTAGACAACTTGGAAACGTTTGCCTCGTATTTTTTAAGTTTTAGCAAAATCACAGTTTTCAGAGTGATCATTTTGCATCCCAATTGTTTTTTTCTGACTAAATGGACCAACATGGCCTTGACCTTTCTATATTTGCAGTCAAATCAAACGGTTTGATAGGTGGATTATTCTGCACAAAGGTGCAAAAAGTCTTATTTGGTTGCATCTTTATTATGAGTTGAACATGGAACATGTTTGATAAACTCCAGTAAATTCCCCTTTTCATCAAGAAATGATCAGACGGATGAGACAAACAGATTTTTTTCTGTCTTTTTTTAATTTGTAGATTCCTGACAGACAAAACTGTGTTGCCCCCGCCCCGAGCATGTTCTCAAATGTGAAATTAAACTGCGTCACCATCAAATGTTAAACACGCAAGAACATTTTTCCTGACTTGATGAATTGTCCACCAAACAGTGGCACACTTGATTTAATGTTTGTAGACCCTGTGTTTTATTCCTCCACAGTTTCATTTGAACAATTGAAGAAGCCTGTAATTAAAATATCTCTTTCGTCAAATATTTGATTTCTGGAAAAACAAACTCGTTATTAACTGTGTAATTTGTCAGGTGTGGAATTCGAAAAAATCCCCCCACCCAAAGTCGCCATGAGCAGAGTGTACACAACTAATCTTTATTTAAACTTGCGTAAAATCTTTTGCGCAGAATTTACGCACACTCATATCTGACTTCATTCAACCTCCGCTCGTTTTGGTGAAACAAAACTAGACTTTCTCTAACGTTCACACCAAAGTCTTTGTAAGTTGGCAGGTGTGGAATTGGAAAAATACAGAATATTCTCCCAATAAAATCGCAAGGGAAGGGTTTACAAAATCAAATCTTGCGTAACTTTTTTCGCCCATTTTATGCACTCACTATCTGATGTATTCAACCTCCGCTCACTCTTAAGAGTAACACAACATGAATTTCTCTGAAGATCATCAGGGTTGGAAATAAAATCTGTATAGCCCAGCGTAAAATCGCCAGTGCAGGTTGAGCATATTCAAACTAAGAATCTTGCCTATAGTAAAACATTTCTTGGTCACAATTCAAGCATTTTCATATTTGACTATTCAAACTCCACTTATTTAAGAGGAACAAATCCTGACTTTCTTTGAAGTAAACACCAAGGGCTGAGTTATTTGTCAGGTGTTGATCAGATAAATACAGAATATCCCCAGTTAAAATCTCCACAGAATGTTGTTCGTGTTCAAAGTCTAAATGTTGTCTTGACTTCTCAAGCATAATATTTCTTACACACAATTTATGCAAGCTCACATCTGACTGTTCAACCTTCACTCAATTGAGACAAACAAAACTTTCTGGAAGTACTATGTCATTTGTAAGGTGTGTATTATAAAAAAACAACTGGAATATCCCAGCATTAAAACACCAGAATAGTTGGTTATGTGTAAAGTGAAAACCGTGTCTTAACTTCTTTCGCAACATTTCTTACGTACAATTTACGCACATTACTTTCAACCTCCAATTATTTTAGTGAATCTAAACTTGAATTTCTTTCCCTATTTTTTTTTTTCTTTGAGAGAGAGATTTTTTTCAGCCAATCAGAGACCCCCGAGCCTGTGTCCGTACTGCTCCTTTAAGAATTTTCCTCCCCAGCAAATCTTTTTTTTATTTTTTCTCTCCCTGCCTCGTACAAGGAGCCCTTTAAGCCCCTGCACGACACACAGAGCTCGCATTCATACTTGGGCAGCGCGAACGAGGGGGCTCGGGAGCGAGCGTCACTTTGGAAACTCGGGAACTCACGGACTCTCGTGCTAAACCGGCGACCTCCTTTTCTCATTACTGAAGTAAGAAGCTCAGCATTTCCAACTCTTTCCTCTCTGCTGCTGCTGGAGGCTCTCACTCTGAGACTCAGGCTTTCTTATAGGATCCTGGAGAATAAACCAGACTCAGAATTACACATTTAAATTAAATAGTCTTTAATATTGATTCGTATTAACAACTTTTTGCGAGATTGGATGTCGTTTTAGACTTGTATGAAGTGACTGATTATTTGTTCCTCCTTTAATAATCGTATTTTTAAAAAATGCTTTTATAGCAGGTAATTTCAGCACTGAATACAATAATATGTATTTAGCGCTGAAATCAGATTAAATTAAACATATTTTTAAAACGTTTTGACATGGATTATGATCATGAAGTTAATCATTCCTGTCGTGATGATGGTGTGAGGATGGTTTTGTGCCAAGCAACAAGTGCTCGTGTTTTAAATGTATTCAATGGGATCGTAGAGAAGAACCCCGAATCATAATTTGAAATGTTACCTTGTTAATCGTTAATATTGGTTATAATTAGCAACATTTTCGCGAGTTTGGATGTGGTTTAAGACTGGTCCAAAATTCCTGATGACTTGTTTGTTCTTTAATAATCGTATCTTCAATTGTCTCTATTACCAAAGTCAGTGGTGTTTAATATTTAAGAATACTTTCTGACACTTTTTGTCATGGATTATGATCATAAAACCTGATTTCTCAAAAGGGAAACGTTTTTAGAAGGTAGGCCTACAAGAGGCTATGAGAAAAATAACTAGACGTATTGATATGTAATTTGTTGGAGATGGGTAAAAGAAGTCTAAACTATTTATTTTTTACAAATGTTTACTTGTTAGATAGTACACTTGCTGCGATCTTCTTGCTTCTTTGTATTTACTGTTGTTTTGGAGCTGTGTGAATTAGAAATATGAGCCATTGTGAAACTAATTGAAAAAAACAAACACAAACAGACAGTTTCCAAACAAGCAAATTAAGGCCAACTCAAGGCAGGTCAAGCGGCAATAATGAGTCCACAGGAATTCACACAGTAAATATGCTCAGGATGATAATTAACAACAAGCACAGAATTGAGGCGTGTTTACTAAACAATTTGTACAACAAACATTAAAAGAGATTAAAGTAACTGAGAAAATATGTGGATTTACGACTGTTGAATTCATTATTCCCTGATTTGTTCCTAATGTGCTAAAAAGATCACTTTATAATTAATGTGGTCTCTCACAACAAGAATGTATAACTCAAACAAGTGATTCTGGATCATTCTCGCTCCTTACTTTCACAAACACAAATTATAAGCAGCCAGTTAATACGTGCGCAATGAGGCATTTGGTGCCCTTACGCACGATGTTTACGCATTGTGTCTCTGCAGCAGGTGGCAGGCGAAAGTCTTTATCAAAGCACCTCGGACAGATGGTTAAGCTTTACATGCAAATCTGCTGGAAATGGATACGATGCCTGACATTCACTATGAAGATGATACAAAGCTATAGTTTTCCGAACAAGTCAGACTTGTATTAATCGAATCAGGACACACTTGCCTAATAATTTAAGTAGCTTTGGGTAATATGCCTAAATCGGATCAGAAGTGAATGTAAGGCACTCATGCTTAGTTTTAAATATAAAAAAGGTGTTCCATTTTCTCCAGTATAAAGGTGGGGTAGCCTAAGTGGCTATATACCCCCCACCCCCCCCACACAACACACACACACACACACACACACACACACACACTTAACCCACACATGAACACAGATACTGTTAAATTGACAAGCCATTTCATAATGTCAGTGGACGTGAGCGAGGTGGCTAATTTTCCTGCAATTTGAAACCAGAGCAGAACACAAACCGGCCGGCTGTGAGCTGCTGGTTCACAGGAAGTTCGCTGATTTAGGACGTGGAGTTGGAGGCAGGGGTGTTGATTTATTTAATGGACCAAAACAAGGACACATTTTGCTCCCCGCCGATAGAGTGGACACTGTTTAACAAACAGACTGTGTCCAATTCACACACGCGTACTGACGGGTGTTTATGTTTCCAGCGCCAGGCCATGTTTATCCAAGAAGTGCAGAGGATAAATCCAAGGTCTGTGCTGCTGCGGCCTCGTGTCATTCCAACACTTTCTCTCCGGGGAGCTTGGAATAACTGCTAAACCTTAAACAGTAGCTAGTTTAGAGAGTTGGGAGGGGGGGGGTAAACCTGCAGAAGGGCAGTGTGCTAACAGGAGCTGGACCTCTGCAAAAACTGTAAGCCATGGGCGTCACTTTGTGTTGAAAAGTTGTGGGGCTCAGATAAAAAAAGATGCAATTATATGAGGCACTTTTGGGGGGGATAATGCACGTTTGTTTCTTCTAGATTCATATTTCATTGTTTTTTGTTGTTGTGTAAACAAATCTCATTAATTGGATAGTTAACATTTGTTTGTGCAAGCTAGTTTTTCAAAATACTTTTAACAAAAAAGGCTCTTTAAAAGAGATGGCGATGAAAAACGTAATTTCAAGAAGAAGTGACACCTACATCCTTATTTTATGAATGAAGTTAAAGGTAGGTAAGTTTGAGAAACCTGCTCGAGATACACTTTTTGTTATATTCCATGGAATGCTCTTAACATCCCGATAGCAATGAATATCTGAAGTGCTTTGACAAAAAATCCATAAAAAAATGTCATCTGTGGAAGCCGTGGTTCTGTAAAAAGCAGGACCAATCATCTGAGCCGGCCCGGCCAAAATAACTGGATGGCCTACCTGCCTGTCAGCCTTCCATCTGTGCACAAACTTATCTCGTGCCCTCATTGGTCATGTGCGCGTTCGTGTGTGTTGGAGGAGGGGCTCTGTAAGGAAGTAGCAGATTTCCTCCGGCTGTGTATTTTCAAATTCTAGCGCACTCGAGCTGGTTTCTCCAAAATTACCTACCCCACCTTTAATGCAGATGAAAAAAAACATATGCATCCACTTCGAATATTGACAACATTCAATATGGCCTATTATATCCTTTTCGATTATTACATAACGTTTTTGGAAAGGAATATGAGTCAGAATATTTGCGATCTGTATGAAACTAGAACAAATATAAAGTCCTTTAACTCCTGTCTGTGATACTTATCAGGTATAATTTATACAAAAATTCGGATCCAAAAGCAAAATACGTTTTTTTTTTTTTGACTTATACTTAGTTGGTTTAATCGACAGATCTATTCGTAAAACTGAGTTTCTCCACAAAGAATCATACAAAAGCATCACTTTAAGTCTTGTACTTACCAGAGATGAGCTCATAACTTAATTGAAAATAAGACATTCGGCAAAAAATAAGGAAAAAAACAAAAATATTCGACTAGGACCGAAACAACAAATTAGTCAACAGAGAGTGGTAGCCCAACCAATGACATTTAAAGGAATCGCTTGAGGTTATTTGTTGATAAGGCAAATAACTTGCACAAAAGGAGTATTTTATAGAGTTTAAAAGAGGATGGGCCAATTCGTTCCAGTCCAGCCTCATGGTATTTTACTTAGATGAAGAAAAATAAATTATGCTGTTGTGTCTTGACTTTGAACACTATCACATCACTATCAATATGTTGTTGGGTGTTGACCATAGGTGTTGACGCAGGTACTGTCTTTGCTTGTTGAACTAACCCTCCTCATCATTCTGCTTTTTCCAGGTCCTTGCTTTTGGAATTCACCCACTGGACAACCGGAGGAGAGAGTTTAGGGTGGGAAGTGATAGTGGGCGAGTTTGGTGCAGACAGCTGTGCATTAGCAGGTAAGCTGGGGTCCAAGGTGCGCACTGAGCCGCCTATCATACCAACAACCCGGATGGAAAGAACTTTAATGTGGAACCCTCATAGAGTCTTGCAACGGAGACTGAGAGTAGAGACAGATTGGCAGTTCATATTATAACTTCACAAGGATCAGTCGTTCTCTCTCTATCAAACAGTAACAGATCGGACTCAACAGGTAGAGCTGAGCATTTAGGAAAAAATTCATCCGCCTGGAGGCTTGTGTGTGTTAGGAAAGATGTCCAGAGACGAGCAGAGCATGTCGGAGGTGGAGCTCAGTCCCGGGATGTCCGATGACAGTCGCTCCATGTCACCGGGTCAATCGTCCGGTGCTACTGGGGGAGACTCGCCTCTGCCCGGGCCGCAGCAGCCGCAGCTCCCGGGTCAGGAGGACTCGGTGGCCGGAGGTTCATCCACCAAATCGGAAGATGAGGACGACCGCTTCCCCGCAGGCATCCGTGACGCGGTGAGCCAGGTGCTCAACTGCTACGACTGGACCCTGGTGCCCATGCCGGTGCGCGCAAACGCCGGAAACAAGAACAAGCCCCACGTGAAGAGGCCCATGAACGCGTTTATGGTTTGGGCGCAGGCCGCGAGGAGGAAACTGGCCGATCAGCATCCTCACCTGCACAACGCGGAGCTCAGCAAGACCCTGGGGAAGCTGTGGAGGTGAGGGGGCAAAATATATCTAAAGTACCAAAACTTAAAGTATTCATTACGCAGAATGGCCCTTTTTTTACTGCGTCCCATTATTGTGAATATTTATATTGTTGAAGCTGAAGCTAAAATATCCCTGCTATAAACAGAGCAGGGGTTTGTATTCAGGGTGGAGGGCTAAGGGGAATAGCTCCACATTAGGAAAGGCCAAAGGTCAATTTCATGTGCTGAATATTTACCAACGGAACCACTTTAGTTTCTAAGGTCTAACTGGCACAGTTTTGCCTCCATCAGCTGATCACTTGTACCCATGGACACAAATTATATATACAACCCAAATATTATTTTTCTTTTATGCAACATCTCTGTTCCATTGATTGGTAATCGGCTCCTGAGGGAATCATGGGGTGCTTTCACCACATTTTGCTCTCATTTAAAGTAGAGGATTTCAACCTTCAAAGTAAAAGCTATTACACGCCCTTTCAATTTTGAAATGATAAGCTTTTACTGTAACTGTTTTGTTTTTGATCACAGTATCCCTGTAGTTACCTATAAGTTTAAAGTTCTGTCAGACCGTACATAAGTCTCTTCTTCTCTCAGACAGAACGCTAGCTATCGGCTGACAGAAAGGTCAGAGATGTTAAATGAATTAACCCTTTGAGACTTACCATTAATTAGATGAAGACTTGACCTTGGGCTGCAGGCATGATTGGTTAATTTGCCCAGAAACACGATGAAGAGGAAGGCTGAGGAAGGTCAGGAGTTTCTCATGCCATTCCTCATGTTTCAAGTTTGCAGACAGGATGCATCTTTGGCCTTCATTATTTCATTACTGTCCAGCAGTCAGAAGCCCCTGGCAGGAGTGGCATAACATGCAGCTGGTTAGACGTGTGAAGCAAAATGTATTTGCATGTACCGAGAGGAAGTCAGTGAGTGTATAACCGAGATATCTATCTTCCAGGCCAAACACTGCACACAAAGCCTTCAAGAAATCACCTCTGTGTGCAGTTTTTAGTATTCATGTTATCAAAATATGCTCTAAGTTTCTTGGATGACCATTTTCCTCCAATAAAGTGTGACCACATTTTGGACTATCTTGTAGGATATATACAACGGAAAAAAGCCGACAATAACAATGTGCCCTATTTGGTTCTTTTCTTCTTCCTAACTTAAACAAACCTAACATCATTTATGTGTATCCAAGGCTTCTTAATGAGAGTGACAAGCGACCCTTCATCGAGGAGGCTGAGAGGCTGAGGAAGCAGCACAAGAAAGACTATCCCGACTACAAGTACCAGCCCCGACGCCGCAAAAGTGGCAAGCCCGGTTCTGGGTCAGGAAGTGAGGCTGATGGCCATTCGGAGGGTGAGGTCAGCCAGCCCCACTACAAGGGCCTCCAGCTGGATGTGTCCCTCATCCGGGCGGTCGGGTCCCCTCTGGCAGACGGGAGCCACCCTCATGCTGCAGGTGGGCTGCTTCTATACCGTCTCTCACGCTGTTCGATCACAACTACACATGTTGGCATATTAAAGAGGCGCTATTGTGCTTTTTGGGGTTTTCCCTTTCCTATAGTGTGTTATATAGGTTTGTGTGCACGTAAATGGTCTGCAAAGTCTGACATCCCTGTGTTCCCTCCAGAGGAAGTTTCTCTCACACAGTCTTCTAGCTGAAACACGTCCATTGGACTCCTTTGACTCCAGAACATAGGGATATGTAACACTTCAGAATCAGAATCAGAATACCTTTATTAGTCCCTCAGAGGGGACTTTTACATTGTTTCAGCAGAAAAGAGCCAAAGACAGCTTAATGTTACCCACTTGCACTTCTATTGGCTAGCGCTTCAACACATTGTACATGATAGGCTAAGGGGTGGGATAGGTCTAAGTGGTTGACCAATCACAACCGAGCCGGCCAGCTAACCAATCAGAGCAGACTGGGCTCTGGTTTCAGACAGAGGGTGAAAAGAGGTGCTGCAGCACAGCATAGAAACTTCATAGTTTCTGCCAAGAGAACTACTGTAACGTTATGTTTCCTTGTGTCTCTAGGTCACAGTCCTCCCACACCACCCACCACTCCCAAGACTGAGCCTCACTCCGGGAAGGCGGGGGGTGGAAAGGTTGGGAACGGGGGCTCCCGTGGCGCAATGGGAGCAGAAGGAAGCTCCGGTGCTCCAGGATCTGGTAAACCTCATATCGACTTTGGTAACGTGGACATTGGTGAGATGAGCCACGAGGTGATGGCCAACATGGAGCCCTTCGATGTGAACGAGTTTGACCAGTACCTCCCCCCTAACGGGCACCCGGGGGTGGGGCAGAGTGTCGGCGCTGCAGCAGCAGCAGCTGCAGCAGCAGCAGCATCATCTTCCTCCGTCTCTCCGTACAGCTACGGCCTCTCCTCCGCTCTGGCAGCCAGCGGACACTCAGCCGCCTGGCTCTCCAAGCAGCAGCAGCAGCAGATGCAGCACCACGGCCCCTCAGATCCCTCCAAGGCCCAGATCAAGAGCGAGGCTGGGGGTCACTTCGGAGAGGCGGCCTCAGTAGGGTCCCATGTCACCTACACCCCCCTCAGCCTCCCTCACTACAGCTCAGCCTTCCCCTCCTTGGCCTCCAGGGCTCAGTTTGCTGAATATGCGGACCACCAGGCTTCAGGGCCGTACTACACCCACTCCAGCCAGGCATCAGGGCTGTACTCCGCCTTCTCCTACATGGGGCCCTCCCAGAGGCCCCTGTACACGGCCATCAGCGACCAGGCCAGCGTGCCGCAGTCACACAGCCCCACGCACTGGGAACAGCCCATCTACACCACTCTGACGCGGCCATGACAGACAACGAGAGTAGAGGGCACCGGTGCAGCTTCAGCCCCGGCGTCAGACCCCAGGATCGGCTGCAGCGTGATCGGCGTTGGTGGTATCGCTGGAGGAGGAAGTGGTCTTGGCTGGGGGGAGTGGGCAGGCACCGGGGGAGTGGGCAGTGGCGGCAGGAGGGGACAAGAAACCCCGATCTGGCCCTGCCAAGATGCGGAAATGCTGTCACGGCCCAAGGATGAGCTTGGAGCGTGGTGCTTTTGAAGAGCGGTCGATTATTCAGGGCGTAGAGTGTAGTGGGCAGAGAATGTATTACTTTACCAAGCCTCTGGTGCTCCCAAATACACAACAGGAAGTATTGATAAGTGGAAAAGGATCAAATGTGTGTATAAGAAGGGGCAACTTGTAGTCTACACGCCTCTATCACGAGCAACAAGGGGTCAACAGCAACTGGTACACATTGAGAATTAGCAAGACTTTGAGCTTTGAGCCAAATTCATTCTACATGATGTTATTTTGTACCAGTGCCAAACGATTTGGCTTCTCAGGCAACATTGACCTTTTATCAAACAGATGTAAGCTTTGTATTGCTTTTGGAAATCAATAGAACAAATACTGGTGTTGGTTTCTGAGGAACATTTGTCCCTATTTAATTCAGACTGTTATGCTGTGTTCACTTGCCTTTTGTACACACATGCATGGACGCACAATGCCATAACATTTGTTGAGGTTTTGTTAAGTGAAATGTATAAGTAGTCAAAAAACAACTTGTAATGATGACTGACTTTTATCAGGATAGTGTATACAGTATACTTGAAATTACAAATGTACGCTTTTTTGCAAACAGATTTGATGTTTTTGTAAAAACGACCAAAGTTTTGAGACCAAAACTTATATCAAAGAAACTGATTTTACAGACGTTTCTCCCGACTCAAAACTACCTTTTGTAGCGAAATAGTTTTTAGTTTTCAACATCTTTCTATGTGAGTTATTGTTAATGCCTTAAAGGAATACTTCACCCCCAAAAATAACCATTTGCATATGATTTTTTAAACACCGTGTTACCATGAAATCCTAACGAAAAACTGTGTTTACAGCCATTTTCTTTTAAAACATGCAAGTGTTTGGGAAGCCATGCTCATACTAATGGATAATTGAGAATTGGATTATATAAATACCCACATGATACATTTTTTATAAACTTGACAAATGAAAAGTAGGCCTACTCAGTGTTGCAGTATATTTGATCCAATATTGAACTCCAAAACGCAATTAAAGACATATTCAAGTGAAATATTAGAAAATATCTATACATCAAGAATAACACTGACTGTATTAACATGTTTACTTTGCTAATGTAGGCTTACAGTAGTCAAACGTTAGAAATGAATGAAAGAATGAGGAATATTCTGGAAGATGTGGTTTTAAAATACTATTATATATTCATTTGAAGCATTATTTGGCTTCCAAGTTGACCCTTTACATATTATTCTTAATTATTCTCATTATGGCTGAGCTGCACGCAGTTCTGAAAAACAAAATTGTGAATTATTTTGTATCACTGTATGCCGATGAGATTTGACGATAATTGAAATACGATAAATTGTACATTTTGGGGTTTGATGTATTCCTTTAAAAACACATAAGTGTCAAAAGCTACTTTTACCTTTTTTCTCACAATGGCACTGATACGTGTGAGGATTTTCCTTATTTCTACGACGCATTTATGAAGTACATTCATGAAAAAAGACAATTCTATTTATACTTGCTTAACCCATTCTCATCGATCATGGTCGCAACGTGTCATAGAATATATAACAAAAGCTTCTTCGTTTGTTTGAACAATTACTAATATTTTAAATGCTTTTTGCCATTATAATCTCCACTGAATATATGCACCACTGCCTTGTATTCTGTGTCATTCAAAAATGTGTATGTAGACAAGTATTCAATGCAAAATCTTTTGGTCGTCGTTTGGTCTTGGAGAAAAAGAAGCATTTTGATGCCAATACTGAGAAACAGTTGCCAGAGATTGTGCAAAGCAAGCTTCCAGGAGATAATAACTTTTAACACAGCCTTATATTAAATGTAATAATGTGCCTTGATTTTAACAATACCTTTTTGGACTATCAATTGATGTCTCTCTATAATCGACTGTCATTTCTGTCCACCATTTAGAAACAGAACTGTATTTTAAGTATTTTATTTCCACCTTAAAAGTAAAGAAAATATCTTTGTTTTTATATTTATCACTCATTCTTTGTCACTTCTGCACACAGATCCAAACCACCGTATGCATGCAGCACTGCTTCTTTTAACCCCCCACACCTTAAAGCCCCTTGTTATTTAACATCATTATTATTGCCACGTGTGAAACTTATGTTGAATTTCTTATTTATATGTGTTTGTGTGCGCGCTGTTTATCGCTCCTCTCCATTATGAGGACAACACTCGACTGCCATTTTAGTATTTCAGATGTTTCCCTTCTTGTGTGACTGCACTGCAGCAGCTTCTCAACAGCAGAGATCATGTGATGGTGATGATGAATAATGACCTTTTACGCTCACTTGAAATAAAGCTCGATTATCTGCTTTGACTGCCTCTCGGAAATCTCTTTTACAATGGAACAACTCGGGGAACATTTTGCTATCAGTTATTAACAATCTGCCCTCTGGATAGTAAACATATCCCTTTGTACTGATCAAATGAAGCCAGTCGGGGAATGGGATGAAGAAGTACATTAACTCAAGGACTCGTGAGTACAATTTGGAGTTGCATTTTCACTTCAAACCTACATTTTTGAAGCCATTATTGTACTTTTTCTTCCCCTACAATTATTCGACAGCTTTAAATCAACTTCAACATTGAGCTCTGATTATGCTCTTTGGTTTTGAAATCCAGCAGCAGTATATAAAGTCTTTCAAATAGATCAACTGTGATAAACACATCAGTAATAATCCATAATTTGATTCTGAATCAGAATCGCTTTTATTACCAAGTAGGTTGACGCAGATTCAGATTATTAGCTTATATAAAATATAAATCAAATAATAAATAAACATTGACATATAAGTATAGGTTAATGTATCCAGCAGCAGTATATAAATCACCATTACCAGCTGTGATGAACACATTAATGCATCAATAACCCAGTCATTTCATAATATTATTCAGAAGTAAGTACTTTTGTTTTTGGTAAGTATAAATCGGATGCAAATACTAAGGATTTTAAATTTTAAACTTTTTCTTGTATGTTTAGTATTAAAGTTAAATAAACTGTTAATTAATAAAGTATTTGTATTGATTTATTATATTGCACTGGTTAAAAAAGGTTTATATTAAGGATAAAAACATGTATAAATCATGAGGAAATCCACAGCAAGTTTGATGAAAGACGGTCATTATTAATCCATGCGATAAATGAACTCTAGTTGCACCTCTTTATTATATAATATATTTGTCTCTCCTTTCCTATATTTATTTCTCTGTACTTTGTTTTATTTGGATTATATTTGTTGAGATTTGATGGGATATATGTCCTCACTTGTATGTGGTACTGTACTGTTCCATGTGGTGTGCAATGTTGTGCTTGTGCCACAGTGAGGCGCAAGGACAAGGGGTATAGGATGCATGCCTGCCTCCTATAGGCTAATCACAGCTCTTGATTGCCACGTGTGTGTGGAACCAGTTCATTCCAGTGGAGGCTGTCACCGTGAGAGTGATGCGTGCAGCCCTTATAATAAAATATGCCAGGCTTGGCTAAATGGATTACATCTCCGTGTTTTTCTCCGAATGCAACGTTAAGCTGCAGAACTAAGCATAACTTAACAGGTTATGGGCCCAGGAGTCGTTCGGAAGAAAAGTTTGTCGGTTTCCACCGTGTAGTAGTCGCAACAAACAGCGTGCTAACGGGTTGCTAAGCTAGCAAGGAGAGCAAGCTAGCATCATGGATCAACGAGGAACAAGCAGGTTGCCTCGACTGGCGTTCGACGGAGATGAGACCAAATATGAGATTTGGGAGACCAAAATGTTGGGACATTTCCATTTAATTGGACTAAAACACACGGTCCTGGGAGAACCGAGGACTGAAGCGGAAAGAGCGTTAGACGACAAGAAAAATGCCGACGCGTATGCTGAGATTATTCAACTGTTGGACGACAAGAGCCTCTCATTAGTTATGAGGGATGCTGCCGACGATGGAAGAAAGGCTCTAAACATATTAAGAGAGTATTATGCCGGGAAGGGAAAACCCCGGATAATTAACCTGTACACCATGCTTACATCGCTCCAGAAAGCGGGCGACGAAAGTATTATGGACTACATCATCAGAG